TTTTATTAGTATGAATTTCTGATTTTGGAGACCATTATATAAATTTCCTCTGAGTTGTTGTTTATGTGGTCTTCTCTTTTTAGTATTTTCTATGCACATACCTACAAGCATTTTTATTCATTTATTTTGCTGTGAAAAGATTGCAAAATTCATTTGGGTCAAACTTTTTCACCATAAAAAAAGGGTCAAATAGATGGCTTTTAATGTTCTTGATTTCAAATGAGGTTTGGGATTTGAATTTTCTTGATTTCAAATGAGCTTGATTATAAATTAATGTTGCTCTTTGAGTTGCAATAACAAATGAGTGGTGTTAGATATGTTAGAAATAGTAGTATAGAAGTGCTTCAATTAATCAATACAAATGAATATATAGTACACCTTGTTGGGTCAGCGGGTCTAAATCTATAGGGTCGGGACATCAACAATCTTCTGCTTGGATGGTGATTTCTCTCTCTCTCTATATATATATATATATGTATGTATAACATATGTATATACATATTGTATGCACAATTGCATATACACATGTGCATATTAATTCTCTGTTTTTTCATAATTAGAATTGAATTTGGATGTAGTATAATAGAATGCAGATTACTTGGTTAAGATTGATTGAGTGGTTGTTATTGATTTAAATTATGTTAATAAGGTAGACAAGAATGGTAAAGTCATATAGGTTATTGATTGTGAATAGAAAGAATAGGATGATCTGTTGTTTTTTCTTTCCTAAGATTTAATAGAGATAAAATAGGAGAAAGAAAAAGAAATTCTGGAAGTTTAATGGGGAAAAAGAAATTTTGTTACCTCAACAGGAGAGTTTGGAAGTGGTAAACAACCACACTTTGGTGATAATTTTATCATGTTCACAATTTTACATAATGTGCATTGAAGTACCAAATTTTCTTTGTAATCTTGTTTATTGGTGCGCATCATAAACAAAATGCATTATTATGTAGTTGTTTTACCATTCTATTGATGTTTAAGTGAAAGTATACTTTTGTTTAACAATTCATCTTGCCATTCTATTGATGTTAAGTGAAAGTATACTTTTGTTTAACAATTCACTAGCATTCCATGTTAAGTAAACTTCACTTTACTTGTTGTTTAGTTTGCACCCATGCCAGAGTAATTACATCTGTATTTTGCTAATATAACCAAAAAGCTTACTGAATACAAAATTTGACAAATTGACATCATTGAAAATGGAAAGTAAGAGATAAATACATACTAATATTATGTGTATCTTGTAAAAAATATGTAAGAATATTCATTCTATATAACATAACCACTGGATAAAAGGTATTCCAAATTATTAACAGGTGTGTTCTTCTTGACACTTATTGTTGTCACAATAATAGAACTTTAAGAGTTGTTGTAGAAAACAAGTAGCATACTATGTTGGGTCTATAATATGTAAACTCACAATTTGAATATATAAAGCTTCTTCACCATAAAATTCTGCACATGTCCATCTTTGTGTAGCATGGAAAATGGTTTTCTTCTTGTATTCATTGGTTCAAGTCTCTCGAGTTCAAATACTTCTGCTGTTGTGAATTAGTGGTATTAGTTGGTCATAAAATTAAATTATTATCTCACCTACACCTGTGATCTAGTTTAGTAAGCTTTGAAAACCCTCTCAAAGTTGAGGAGAACTAGTAGTTTTTATAAATCAATGTTGACCATCATGTGATTTCTCTCACCTATAGATTTCAACAAATGCTTGGCCTTTTTGGTAGCCAGCTGCCTATTATTATCTTACAATGTTCAGAACTTCAAGATATACGGTAAACATCCCATTCAAAGACATGCATGGATAATTTGATTATGTCATTTATAATAAGATTTGGTAATATTGTCTTTTTGGCCAATTATCAACTATATTCTTAGGGGCCTGTCACAAAACTCTGAAATCAAGCCTGCCATTTTTTTGACTTGGCCCAAGATTTATATGTTAGTTTAGTCTTTGGCCAATTATGAACTATATAGTTTTTTGGTTGTTGCAAAGTAGATTGTGTAGTTTTTTGGTTGTTGAGAAGTACATTGTTTCAGAAAGGTTCTTATTGTGCATGTTAGTTTGGCAAAATTGTGAACCGAATTAAATTTTCATCATGTTTGAAGGGTTATTTGTTGAGAAGAGAAAATGCCTAGGATATGTTTCCTTCCATTCTGGGTGGATAGGATTGATGGCAGAGGGGGCTGCATAACTCTATAAGTATCTCAATCTGTGGCCCTTGCATGATTTTTAAAAACAAAAAATTGGTTCCTTTTAATTATCAAAGTTATTAACATTTTTGCATGCAATGTTTTGACAGGTATGTTGACACTTTCAACAAAGGGGCTGGGAATTAAACAAACTTATTCCGGTCACCTTCAGTTCCATCCATCCACCAAACCTGCTAGTGGTGGTAATCCAAAATTTTTCGATCCCACACCAATATCTTCTAGTGAACAGACATTTGATACTACAACAGATAGTACACAAGAAACTACATCAATTACTGAAAATTTCTCAAATCCCACTGCCAACAACTCATTCCAGTAGATGGATTGTATTCAGTTTTCTTTTTATAATTGTTATAATTTGAAATATCAATTTTATTGAATAAGTTCTAATGGTTAATTTTTTTTACAGATTGCTTTTGCGTGAGCTATTGTGGATATTTATTTTTGTGTACGAAGAGCATTTGTTCTGTATATGGAAGACATTTATTTTTCTACAACCCTCTATTTTGGAAATTCAATGTTTTTGTATGTAATATTTACTTTAGATGGATTATACTTGGTTGGTGTGGATTTATATGATATTTGGAATATGATATTATAATTTAAAGTTTTTGGATAGTTGATAATGAAATAAGTATTATTGATATGGATTTAGATGATAATTGATAGATGTATTATTCTGTATATGTACAGGTTATAAGTTGCATTGATAATGAAATGCATATAATTTAGAAATTAATGAAAAATATTTAATTTATGCATTGTAAAAAAATTAATAAATAGAGTTTTTGGCAACCAAACATTTAGTAGCCAAAAAATAAGAAGGGAACTTGTTGGCGACTAAATAGTTAGTAGCCAAAAAAAATGAAAATTTTTGGTGACTAAAAAATTAGTAGCCGAAAAGGAGCACTATAATTTTAGCGACTAAAAAGTTGGTAGCGAAAAAGGATTGCGACGTTTTTAGTGACTAAATATTTTTGTCGCTAAAACGAAAAAGCACATTTATTGAAAATTTTGGGCGACTAAATTTTTAGTCACCAATTGCCGACTTTTGGTGACTAAAAAAAATTGGTTGCCAATGCCTTTCCTTTTGGCTACTAATTTTTTAGTCGCCAATTTAGGACTTTCGGCGACTAATTATTCTTTAGTCACCAATAACTTCCTCGACAATCTTCCCACGACCAAGCCAGCGACCAAACTATTTAGTTGGGAAATCTTTTTGGCAACTAAAATTTGACTTTTGGTGACTAAAAATTTAGTCGCCAAAAGTGCAATTTCTTGTAGTGTCTATATAATAAGGAATTTTTATTATTTTTTCATAATAACCAAACAAAAAAGATTAGTATCATTTATTATTTTTTAATTGTGTACCAATTTTAAAATAGAAACAACCAGATAAAGTTAAAATGGTGATTTGATCATATTACATCAAATAAGACCTAATAGAATAAAAAAAATTATTTGGATTAGATAGAATATAAGTCTTAAGAATAAGATTTACTAAAAAACACTCACTTATATTTTTCATAATAACCAAACAAAAAATATAATGCAATTTTTTTAATTTCTCTTATCAAATCATTCAACCAAACATAACTTTAATTTCTCCATGGAGAAGTAGGGGTGATCATGGATCCGTCCAACTCACTCAACCAAGCCGATTCAATCCAACCTGATTAATTTTTGGTGGATGCATGTCTTTTGGCAGACGAATACAGATGAAATATTTCAAAATCTGCTAATACAATTTGAATGACGAATCAACCATCTGCACTCTGCAACTACAAGAATTCGCACTTTTGCCAACTAAAAATTTAGTTGGTAAAAGTCCATTTTTAGTCGGCAAAAGTTATCCGCAACTAATTTTTTTGGTCGCCACTTTGGTCGCCAATTGAGGGTCATGGAAAGTAATTAGTTTTAGTCGCGAAAAAGTTATATTTGCCGACTAAAATTTTAGTCGCTAAATATACAATTACTGCGACTAATCCATTTAGTAGCTAAAACACTTTAGTCGCGAAAAGTCATATTTTCCCGACCAAACATGTTAGTTGCCAATTCGCACATTCAACAACCAAATAGTTTGGTCGGCAATTGTGGCCCATTTCCACGACCAACAAATTTGATCAGCAAAAGTCCATTTTTAGTCGGCAAAAGTTATTTGCGACCAATTTTTTTGGTCACCACTTTGGTCGCCAATTAAGGGTCGGCAAAAGTAATTAGTGACCAAAACTTTTGTTTGTCGGGCAAAAGTTGGATTTGCTGACTAAATTTTTGGTCGCTAAATATATCATTACTGCGACTAATCTATTTAGTCGCTAAAACACTTTAGTTGCGAAAAGTGACATTTTCCCGACCAAACATGTTAGTCACCAAACATGTTAGTCACCAATTGTCACATTTCACGACCAAACATGTTAGTCGCCAATTGTCACATTCCATGACCAAACATGTTAGTCGCTAAAAGTCACAATCCACGACCAATAGATTAGTCGCCAAAAAGTCACATTCCACGACCAAACATGTTAGTCGCCAAAAGTAATGTTTTCACGACTAAAATTTTAGTCGGCAATAGACCTATTCGCAACCAAACTCTTTGGTTGCCAAAATTAACAATTTTACCGACTAATTATTTAGTCGCCAGATGTACCACTTTGCCTACCAACATTTTGGTCGGCAAAACCACAATTTGGTCGCCAACATCCAACAAAATAAACTTGTAATTGAAGACAAATATTTCATCCAATCCATTCAATCTAATCTGTAATTAAAAAGAATCATTCATACCAACAAAGTATCTAAATCATGAACATTCAACGAAATACATAAATCATCAAATCTTTAACCTGTTTAATAAAAATCAGCAACTATTATAAGTTTCCATCCACAAGTAATTCCAAAGTACATATTCTTTCAATTTAAACTTTTATCCATGCACATCTATCAAAAAATACAACTAGTCTATCCAAATATTTCCATATACACCCATCAAAAAATATAACTACTAGTCTATCGAAATATATTCCATATACATCTATCTAAAAATATATAATACTTCCAAAAATGCTTATAGCGCCAATTAGTCTTGTACAATTTAGCTTTGTGCACGAGTTCATCCATCTGTACCAAAGAAAAAAGAAAAAGAATGTCAAGAATTGAGCAATCATTAAACCTTGTTTGTCTAAAATGTGGTAAAACACTTAAAATTTTACTTTCAAACTGGAGGGATGGAGCACCTCCCCAAAAGACCACATAGATGGGATTTAAGAATTAGTCACTACAAAACTAAATCTTTTTTTGGATGCTTCTAGTAGATTATCCAATACTATATGATTATTCAGAACATGCAAACATGTTCCTTGCCATACCACACTATTACGTGACATCAAACCAACCATCATGTTTACATTGTGTAAGAATCTCAAATTTGCAAGAAGAAAATTCTATCGTTACTAAATACAAAAAAGGCATTCCCCTGTCATGTCATGCAAGTTAATTTTGTGATAAAGAAAACAAACATATGAGAATGAGACCTCTAACTTCTTGAGAAGTCTACCCACCACTACTAAGGCCATAAATCTTTCTGTTACACAATATGCATCGCATTAACTAGACATATGATAGTTTGACCCACCATTTAAATAAGCTTAGACTTCTTTTATTTCTGACAAAAGGATGGATGTTGGCATTAACCAATCAGCAACACTTACAAGGAAAGGGCCACTAATTTTCTCACTTAAGTGCCCCCAAGTTGACACTAATTTTGTAACACTAAGTTGACATTCAAATAGGGTGGTGACTCCATATGAAGAAAGTTCCCTCTCAGCGTCCTAATTTTTTGTGATTAGATTACTATAAAAGATACTATTGCTCTATACATTATGCAAAAAGAAGACTAATGAAATAACTGCCCACAATTAAAAATAGAACATGGCCTCCCATTGAATAAGGTATATAATTTAAGTAAAACTTGTAAAGCTGAACTTACCTAAATAATGGACAAAGCAATTTTGTACAGCATGACATTAGTGCTATTTTCACGAGCAATTTGCACTTGCTCGCCAAGGATCCTAAACAAAACAACAGCAGCAGGTGTAAAATAATATAATATACTTGTTTTTAAATTATAATTTTTTTTAAATAATAAATATATTAATCTTGTACTAATCATGGTGATAATATACTTGTTTTTTCTTGACATTCTTAGAAGTTGCACCAAACAGTGCCGCTAACTTCTTTTCATGTAATAATCATGGTGATAATTCTCATGAAATGCGGAGCATCCTAAGGTAATCTCAATGTTCTTGAACATGGGAACAAAATTACACACAACCGGCCTTGAGGATAATGATGTCATACATTCCAGCTCAATTTGGAAGAAGGCGTGATTTGGCGAGGATACTATCATAGCCAACGTTGATACTGGTTGCCACTCTCTCCCCACTCTTAATTTGAATTTCAATATGATCAAAAATCTTACTATCAAATTTGAGTTCATTTTGCCAAGTCAACTTAGATCCTAGATATGTTTTAGTGCATAATAATAGTTTAAATTTTCTAATTTTTTCTTCAATTTTCTTGCTTAGAAATTGTTGTAGATCTACATTACTCTTCCTATAGTTGTTTAATAACTGGAAAGTTGACTTTCATGTAAGCTTTATGCTCATCCTAGATAACATTTAGTGTTAATGAACTCTGGTGAATTAACTAAGCTCTGGTATTGAATTTTCATATTTCCCAATCTCATTGATGTTTCATATATATGACAAAGCGTCATTTAATACAACTTGTCCTGTCACCAAGCCATGTTTGACCATCAGCAAAAGCTATTCTATGAATTCAAAAAGGCACATACATGCATGCATTAGAGAGGTTTTGTCAGGTCTTAATAGACCCATCTTGGAGCTCATCTTGGTGATCCAAATTATTCATCTTATGGGACCTATTGAGCAAAGTATTTATGCAAAAAATCATGATGATCATATATTGGTAGCCATATGATTGAATCACATTTGTCTTTGAAAAAATGAATGGTATATTTTCAAAATCACACCTACGACCCATTTTTGGTAAGGCAAATATGATCAGATCATGTCTTAAATGATATTTTGACATTTGTGATCAGATCAGTAAGGCACCATTTTTAATTTTCTATTGCTATGATCTTTGAGTTTCTGTGCACTCACCCTTCATTGATGTGATCAAGCCAGCTGTGTGGCCTGAATCAACGAGTTTTAGTGATGAAGAAATGGGACCAATTCCATCAAAGTGGAAAGGAATCTGTCAAAATGATGCAGATCCAGGTTAGACACCCCGCTCCCCCCATCTCTCTATACACAATATCTCTTGTTAATACACTCTTTGAAGGTGATGTTCATTGAGATAATTCAAGGATTTTATGAAAGAATTTAGTGTTCTTTATTTCTTGTTTATACCAGACATTGTCCAATTATTATATGAAAGAATGAGAACTTCTTCAGTTAAATGACTCTCGTGAGATTGATTTGGTAGCTATGCTTAGGCCAAAGTAACTTCAGTACTGTCATTGTTTGAATCATCTGATATAGGACCACCAAGCTGTTGCCTTAACAACTAAATTGCATAAGAAAAATAATTGACAAATAGAATTTTTATACATAAATCATCATAAATTGCATACAAAAGAATTCTCTCTGTCATTTAATTTTAATTTGTTTCCACCTTAGAGGGTTGGAATAGCCTATTGTGACCTGCTTGTCAAGGGTTCGAAGCACATAAATAATATTTTCACAGCCAGGGTAAGGTTGTGTACTTTTGACCTTCCCATACCTTGCATTGACATGACAAGAGTCTTTTGCATGGGACATGACCTATTTTTTAGTTAGTTCCATTCTTGGTTACCTAATCTCAATGAATTTATCAACTATCTGATAATCATATTCAAAAGGTCAAGAGTAAAAAAGCTTCAGATCAAATAGGCTCATCAACCCTGTGCTTAGCATACTTCTAATGTCTTAGAAAGTGCTTTCATGGCCAAAACAGAAAAAAAACAATTGAGGTGTTAAGCCCATAATGATGGTTACTATTAATTGTTCCATCAAAGAAATAGATGGAAATGCAATCAATTAATTGTTACTATTTTACTAGTAGTCTAGTACAACAACTATGACAATACCAATAGTGATGATCATTACCTCTCAATGAGATCAGCTGGAACTATTGAGGTGTTAAGCCCACTGCTTAGCATACTTCTAATGTCTTAGAAAGTGCTTTCATGGCCAAAACAGAAAAAAAAACAATTGAGGTGTTAAGCCCATAGTGATGGTTACTATTAATTGTTCCATCAAAGAAATAGATGGAAATGCAATCAATTAATTGTTACTATTTTACTAGTAGTCTAGTCCAACAACTATGACAATACCAATAGTGATGATCATTACCTCTCAATGAGATCAGCTGGAACTATTGAGGTGTTAAGCCCACCCATGCATTTCTTCCTAGGAAACCTCCAAGCAATCTTGTCCTTGAATTTTTCTCTGCTTGATGATTCCAGATACAGGACACTTGACAGGCATCTGTACTCAAAAAATAGTTGTCAGTCGGTGCCAAGTATTGAAACAACAAAATCATGGTTAGTAGAGTAACATGATAGAACCCCAAATGAATTATTTGCCGATATTTTGATACCATGGAGTACAAAGATGAAAGTATACAAGTATATAAAATCAAAATTTACCAATTATTCATATTACACATGTCGGGCACTTTATGAAGCCATTTAGTTATGAACTCAATTTATCCAAGCATGAAAAGACATCCTTGGGTTTTTTTGTAATAATGATGTTGATGGCTCTAATTTTGCCCCTAATTGTTTATGGGGTTGAATGCTGCTCCATGGATTACACAAGTGCCATTAGAGCAAACTCACTCCAGGACGTAGTTGGTACATATTGTAATGATTTTGATGGCCAAGAAAGGATCTATCGTGTATTCTATCAAAATCGCCAAACATCAGAAAGTTTATCAATTGCTCCATAGATAGATGGTACAACTAGCTTTCATAGTGAGAGGAACGTTGTACTGGCTCCATTAAATATATATATACTTTTGTCTCAAATCCTATTGAGAAAGAAAATAATAAAATAAATTCCAATTTCCTAAAATGTCCAAGCAAGCCTAGTAATATTGACTCCCAAATATAGCAGCAATAGAAGTTCGCCTTCTGGGAGTGAGTCAATTGATTATTTCAGAAGACATTGAAGTTCAATACGCCATACAATTGAGTAAAATTGTAGGATAAAAAAGGCAAAAACTATCAAACAGTAACTTGTCCAATGGAAGCCTAAGTCCTAGTTTTGATGAAGTAAAACGCAAATTAGCAAACCGCCGTAGGTCTCTTTCAGCAATCTTAGGTAGGATATACTCATCTGAAACACAAATACCAAACAAGATAAATATGAAAATAGACAGATCAAGCCTCCCTCTTAATTGCATGAGGAGCAACTCTTTTTTTTCCTTTGTGATTCTCACTGATTAAAAAAATATAATACTTCCTCTCCGCAATTTCAGGTTTTTGAATAATAGTAGTCGAACGCTATTTGACCATTTCAAATTTCTGAATTTTGAACATTGGAGAAAAAAAAATCCCAATTTCAACCACAAAATGATAAATAAAATTCTCTTGGTAGCCTAGCCATTCCTTCTCATCTTGATCAACAAAAAAATGTGAAAACAATAGTTATGATCAGCTGACAGTGTTACTAAAACTTCGAAAGAAAGGTTCCAATACTGGTTGCCCATGCTGTAACAAAAATCTATAAGCTGAGGAACAACCCAATAAGGTGCTAATTGATATTGTCTTGTAAATGGACCAGTGAACCAACTAGATGATAGAAGTACAAATACCTAACTCGAAAAAGCTCATGAATCTAAATGATGTGAGCATGTGCATGCTTGCAATTTACTCTAGAATACATAATTAAGATTGTGAATTACAAAACCTGTTTTCTTAGGAGGCCAATCAAAAAACTGAGCACATATCTGTTGAGTATTGGTGCGTTGAAACGGATGCAGTACAAGAACCCTACAAGATTTAGGTAGTTACTGTTAGAATGTTTCATTACTTTCTTCTCTCTTTTTTTTTCTTTTTCTTTTTCTTTTTTTTCCTTTTTTTACTTGGGCAAGTTCACAGCCCTATTTCCAAAACAGAAATAGATGGAACAAAGCAAGCAATGTTAAGTTATTTATAAGACAAGTGCTTAGCTTAATTATTGACTCTGATTATTAGGAAACCAACACCATTTGGGAAAATTAAGGTTAACATGCTATAAAAGTGATAATTTTGATTACAGGTATTCAGGAGGTGAGCATTTTTATCTATAGGAGTCAGCATCTCTGTTGTATTCACATAAGATGAACTCCTTTCCACAATCCACATCACACAATACCTGTCCTTGCCACTTTGAAAGAAACTTTCCCAATTATATGAGAGAGAGAAGATATCATTTTCAGAAATTAGCAGTAAAAAATCAATTTTTGACAAATCTAAGATCCACAAATCTTGTTAATGGAATGCAATCTAAGATACAGAAGGAAGGCAAATTGAAAAGTAATGGTCGTGTTTACGCACACAAATCGTAAGAAAACAAAAAAAAATCGAATCGAAGTAAAAAACAAAGAAATGACATAAGAAATAAGGACCTGAAGAGGTTGATCGACTTGGGAAAGGAGATGAGAGGAGTGGTCAAGCAAAAGGCTAAGGAGAGCATAGAGAGTAGTCTCTGTGTGCTTCGGAGGAATTCTTCTCATCAATCTCATCGCTGCTTCCATTTTCTTCCAACCAACCAAATCACCCTCCTCAAATCACCCACACACACACACACACAAACAGTTTTAGAGAATTTGAGAGAGAGAGAGAGAGAGAGAGGCGAGTTGTTTAATCCGTGTTTCCCTCGCGGGAACCGTATATAAGTGCCTTTTTTAAGTATGTTATGGAAATTTAGAGCCCTCATGGCAACAGAATCTAACCTCACGTAGGATAGCAAAGAACTTCCATAATTGTACTGTCAAATACTATAACTTCCATAATTGCTCTCATCAGCAAGTAGTTGTACATAAGATAGCAAAGAACCCAAAGCCCCAAGTGCAAATTCAAACCCAGAAACATCCCTTAAGTCGTTTGGAGGCTCTCTCATTTACATACCATCTGTTCCCACAACTTCTTCATACAGTTTAAAATCCAAGTTCCATTTGAAGATAAAGGTAACAGTGTCAACAGTTAATAGATGCTAGCATACAGTCAAATTCCAAATTATTTAGACTCATATTGTCAAAATCTAGATTATTGAACTCTATAGTGGCTGAATGTTACATAGTTACAATAAGCAAAACTAAGGGCTCTAAATGTTAGCATCAGCTTTGTTACACAGTTTCAGAGCAAACCCAACTTCATACAAATACCAGGCAATAAAATCAAAATGTTTTATCTCAGATCATGCTTTTTATACCACATTTAAAATAAATACTTGGTGCTTTCAATTGTTTAGGAAAGGAAGGTTTGAGGAGGGGTTTCAAGAATGGATTTCACAAATATTGAGGTAAAGACAGGAAAAATGAAGGAAACCATTTGCCCACTATATGAATGGCGGTGGCTGGGTTGATTTAGGGGTAGGTTTGCGTGAAGAAGGTATGTGGATGAAAGAAGAAAAAAACCCTAGAGGCCGAAATTAGGGGAACAAAGATAGAGATATAGAGATACATATATATATATATACACAGAGAGAGAGAGAGAGAAACCGAGAGGACATATCTTGGCTAGTGCCCCAATGATGGATCGTGACTACGAGATAAGATGATATAGGCTGTTGGTTTGCGATGGCCCTCATGTGTGACGGGCGATGAAGACAAAAGAGAGAGAGAATCGAAGCTGGGCAGATACGAGAGAGAGAATCGGAGGAAGGCAGATGCGAGAGACAGAGACAGTCGCAAACTGAGAAAGTCACAGAGTGAGATAGAGACGAACATGTTTTTAAGCCCTAAGTCTTATAGTGAGGTGAGACGGGGTGAGGTTTGGTGGTGAAGGAGAATCTGTATGAGAGAGAACAATCTGATTGGTTTAAACAGAGAACATGCGGGGACAATTAAATGGTTTCCCTCTAAGTTTTCACGCCTTTGGCCACAAAATTAATTTTTAGTTGGCAAATGTTATTATCTGTGACCAAAATATTTTAGTCGCTAAACATTTTTTCATTCCTACTTTTTTTTTTGTCTTCCCTCTTCGAATTTTGCCGACTAAATTTCAATTTGATCATAGAAAATTATATTTTGGCAACTAAAAAAATATTAGTCAGCAAAACTCCAAACCTTTATCGGGCACTATCAGTACAAATTAGGTATAAGATGAAGATCACAGAAGCAAAGATTAGCAAGGCAGCTTCAAGAATCTTTATTGGGCGCTACCAATATAAATTAAGTATAAGATGAAACTATAAGATAAAATTTAAGTGTTATGAATTTCAGGCTTTCACAACCCAAAAAAAGAAAAACAAGAAATTACATGTTCCTTGAATCATTTTATAGAAAGAGAGGGATATTTATACCTCAAATTGTTTTTAGGGAGAGTTGAAGATGCTCTAGAAAATGGGGATGGTGAAGGCCCTGGTGAGTGAGACATTGTAGAACAAAATTACTTTAATCAAAGAGAAAACAAAGACAGAGAGAGTCACAGAGTAAGAGAGACAAATATTAGGAGAAGAGAGGCAGAGAGAAGGACAGAGAGAAGGCAAAATAGAGAGGACATACTGGGGTAATGCTTCAATAGTGGATCGACGGTGGTGCTCGATGGCAATGATGCTCCTTACCCGACGGTGATGGAAACAGAGTGACAGAGATTCAATATCAGGAGGAGGGCAGTAATGGAATGAGAGAGACAGAGGCGTGAGAGAATCGGAAAAGGGCAGATGCAAGAGAGAGAGAGAGAGAGAGAGAGAGACGTTTAAGCCCTAACTCATTTTAGTTTGTTTGAAATCCCTCCAGAGTTCCTCACCAAATTAATTTAAAAATCCCTCCAAAATGATAATAAATAAAAAATAAAATTATAATAATAAATAATAATGATCATAATGATAATAATAATAAAATTAAACATGAACTCAAATTGGGCGGTATGTGTTCCCACCAAAAAAATTGAGTTTTATTGCCGACTAAATGTGTTTTAGTCACCAAAAATGTATATTTGCCGACCAAATGAGGTAGTCACCAAAGATGAAAAATAAAACTATATTAGATATTTGGCGACGAAATTTCTTTTAGTCGACAAAAGTTGGTATATGATGACTAAAATTGATTTAGTCGCTGAAATTAAATTTTTGTCGACCAAACTTTTGGTCACCAAAGATAAAAATTAAATTTTTGTTTTCCATTCAACGACTAAATAAATTTAGTAGCCAAAAGTAACTATACAGCGACTAAAATATTTATTAGTCGCTGAAAATAAATTTTTGCCGACCAAACGTTTGGTCGCCAAAGATAAAAAAGTAAATTATTATTTTTCATTCAGTGACTAAATTATTT